GAACTTAATATTTCAAAAATGATGTTCGCACAATTCATTATCGTTAATAGTTCTCTGGCATTTATACAAGTAAATTAAACACAACGAAATCCATTCCCATTTCTATCACGTACCTCCCAACCTGCTACATCCGGGCCAGTACTACCCAATATTCGACCGCGTTCAAAAGAATTTGTTTGGCATTGTGGGAGATTGTTTTCCATCTTATGACTCATCCTCATTCACTTCATATTCCATTAGTAAGGAGGAAGTTCCGCTCAAACAGAATTGTTGCATAGTTGAATATGCTCCTGAGAGGATGCTTCCACGATCGTTATAATCTCAACGTATTTAAGTCTAGGGTCAACTACTCTCTATTCATATACATATCCTCATAATATGCCACCTCTGCCCCCCCCCATGTGCACTCTTACAACAATCCCATTCAGTAACCCTCTACCTTGAGTGGCTCTTAGTTCTGGTATTCTTTCTTTTCTTTTTGTGTGACATGTCCTTTCAGAACGTAGGCGATCATGGCTCTCCACCTCCCTCTATCCCTTGCAACAAGTTCCTTGCCTTTGCTACCCCACCCCAAGACCACGTTCTGTCAACCACTTGCTTAAGCCCGCTAAGTATGTCACGCGTTGCTTTCCCTTGTCTCTCTTTCTCTCTATCCGCTCTGTGATTACAGATTCTCCAAGCCCCCCTTTCTCATTACGTGTCCCAGAAATTTCAGCTGCCTCTTCCTGATGTTAAATATAAGTTTCCTCCTTGTTTGCATCCTCCCCAAAAACTCATCTTTGATCACATGTTCGGTCTATCAACGCGTTATGCAAAAAATAGTAAAAAAAATAGAGATTCTCGAGGTGGGCTAATTTAAAATCCAGCGGTCTTAAGCAGAGCATCTCCAGGCCCCCCTTCTTCATTATGTGTCCCATAAACTTCTTGTATTGGTTAACAAATTACAATTTCCAAAAACTGTAATTTTTCATGTTGTTAGATAACATTAGAAGCGTTTAACTTTTAAAAGCTACATTTTTAAAATATCGCTTTTCATTGTGTAGTGTGACAGCTGTTGAATCAGCATTCGTTATTTAAACATTTAAAGCGTTAATATATTTCTGTTAATAGGTTAATAAAAATATGCTTTTTATTGTAAGAAAATAAATTGCAAAGAAAAAAGACGTGTACAATGTCAAATATGGTTTTGTGTTGGGGATTAAATAATGCTTTACGGTTGGATCATTTGAATTTTACAGCGATCAAATCAAGATATCACTCGAGTTTAATCAACACAGGTTTAGTGTGAGTCTTGGTGAGAGAGAAAAAAGGACGCAAAACGTGGAATTTAAACAAACAACAAAATAAATGTATTAACAAAACATTGTAACGGGAGAGATAGGGATAAAGCTTTATTCTCACATTTGTATTTCCCTCATTATGGGCATTATCATATCCGTGATATAATAACACTATAATTGATATAACAACACTGTAATTCACTGACGGAAACATTGCCGAAGAGCGAAGGTCAGTTAGTTATGTGCCATGCGTGATATACGCTTAGGCGATCATATATCTTTCGATACATGTCTGACGAGGACGATTTTTTTTCCCGTAGTAGGTTGCTATTTCTTTCTGCGGTAGACCAGTTGCCATCCAAAGCTATAGAACCCGGTCTGTCCTGCTATTTACCCATAACTAGGGGAAGAAGAGGATTCATTCCTTTCCCAAGCACGTAAGTGAATGCAATGGATTTGGCTGGAATTCGAACCCGGTTCTCCGATTTCTCAATCCAAGCTGCTATCCATTACTCCACCGTGTAGTTAAATTAAAAGCGGTGTCATGGGACAAACTGTGCTTTTTTGACATTCCGTTTTTTGGCAGGCAGGAAGGTCCATGTTTACCCGATAGGCTTAGTGACGTTGCGTCTGTGCAGAAAGAGGCTGCAGAATAGAAAATCATTCCATCCTCCACAAGACAGCGTAGACGATTTTGAACGCTGTCAAGGCTGGAAAGGGAGGATGCCCAATCGATTTCTATTGTACGTAAGGATGTTTTTTTTTTTCTTTCTTGCAGATGATTTCAAAGACTCCGGTGTAAATGATTTCCCCATTTTCATTTTGGTTTCAACTAGCCGCCTTCGTCTGAGCCACATTGTAAGCCCAGAAACAATGAATATTCTGCAGTGAGATTTTTTTCCCCCGTGCTGCGTTTCTTCTCAGACGCGGGAAGGAGAAACTGCACGAATTGCTTTTCTGGCGGCGTAAACCGAATGACAAAACAAAAACCTTCTCAATACTTTCTCCCTTCCTACTCCTGGCTGATGAATTGCCACATCAGCGACATCAGTTGCCTCATCTAATTGCAATGCAAAATACCTGCCTGCTGTTTGTTGTTCACACATTTCACAGGGATAAATGAATTGGAGGAATATTTCATTTGCATTAAACTCAGAAAGCTGCCGCTATATTGTGCATGCATACAATCAGTCGGTAAGCAGTTTACATCGACAGCTACGTTCTTATTATATTTGTTCTCTCTCTCTCTCTCTCTCTCTCTCTCTCTCTCTCTCTCCCTCCCTCTCTCTCTTATTCTTTCGTTCTCACTCTCTCTTCTATTTTCTCTCTTTATCTGTTTGTTCGTCTCCGTATTCGAAATGCTACCCAAAAGTTTGGGGATCTTAAGGCGGGAAATGGCTTTCTTAAAGAAAAAAAATTTGCTATCAAATGAAGTTCTTTATTTTCTGGCAGAGTGGTCCAGCGTGATAGTGGAAACGTTGGTTTTATTTCTGTAATCATTTCACCCCAAGAACGCAGAGAGTTACAGAAAGTGAAAGAGAAGACTGGAGGATTGAAGAAAGGACAAAAGATGAACCGAATTCAAGAAGATAGAAGATGGCGTTTGGCGTTGCATTTAAATTTTTGAAGATTGTCGTTATCAGGGAAGCAAGTATACGGAAGGGAGTCCCATAGTGGGAGAAAAGAAACTTTTGCGATAATGTTTAAATTCACAGATGAATAGATAGACCAGTCTATTGTAATTCCCCGATTATTTTTTCAGTTTAAATTTTCACTGTTTCATATTGGGATGATCCGGTATATCCTGTTGCTCGATATGACATTTCTGATTTTGTTTGGAATTTTTTATTTACCTTCTGTGGAAACTTATAACGTTTTTAATTGATATTTATTTTTTAGTAATATATCAGCTCAATCACCGTCGCTTTGCTGGCGGCAAGATGATTACATTCCAAATTTAAATTGTTTGTCCATTTAAAATGTTACATTTATTAGAAAATATCTTCAGCCTAAATACAGGAGTCATAAAATAACTTTCCAATGGCCGAATCTTTTCCCGTCAGCCAGAACAGAAAGGGAAACTAACCCTCGCGACACAAATGTCAATTTTCACTTAATTCAAATTGGGTCTGTCAGTGTGTGTCGGTGTGTGTATGCCTGCGTATACATGTGTATATTTTTTTTATTTAATGACAAACTTAAAATATTTCTTAAAAAAATGACTTTTTAATTTTTTATTGATTACCAAATACTTTCCGAATATTTCAATATTATACTGATCTATTTTTTAGGGTTTTAAAAAATTCCTTTTTTTTAATTTCTTGTTTACAAATTTATTTTATTACTAAGCCCAAGATATGGATTGTCCAGACTGAGTGGGAGAGGAATCTATTATTTCAGTGTTTTATTTCAAATTCATTTACACTCTGTGTGTGTTTATGTATGTACATTAAATTTCAAAGGCATATGTAAATTACTCATGCCCAACACAGACATACACATGCATGTTACATAATATGTGCATGCGGACACACGCGGACAGTGTGTGACGGACAGACAATCAATTCTTCTTTTATTATATAGTTTATTCATTGATTATTCTATAAAAAAAACTGTTCAGTTCTGTATTTTCACGACTTTGATCTTTACGAGTCCAATATGAAACATTATGAAAAGATTTTTTTTATACTAACAGTTCACCCAATACAAGGCCCAAGGGCCACACAAGGTAGAGGGTTAATGAATGAGATTGTAAGAGAGTATTATGAGTACAAGGAGATATCGGTTGACCCTGGACTTAAAGAGACCAAAACTGTAGTTGTCAGGAAGCATTGCCTTGGATGTTTGTTTCACAAAGTTCTGGGGAAGAAGCTACCTGAGAAAAACTTGTTTTTTTTTTTTTATCAAAGGGGCGCAAAGTGAATTGAAGTTGTTTTTCTGCTACCGGACAACAAACGAGGAGGGACGAAAAGAAAAGCAGCACCGGAGACAGGCGAAACAAAGCAAAACAAAACAGAGACACGTCCATAGCAGAGGCGACGAAGAATTCCATACAAGAACGCCGCAAATGAAAGTCGAACGTATCCAGGTCACAGAAAACGACGATGAACAAAAAGGAAATCAGAATCGTGGCGTTCCGTACAATACTTGCGACTCACAGACTAATGAAGCAGAAATCCGTCTATTTATATTGATCCCCAAAACATCGGTAATTCCTCTATGCAAGACACGAATCATTTGCACAAACAAATTCTAGGCCCCTCTCAACCTACCGTCGCGACCATACTTTTTGCAAGCGGACGTTCTTGTGTTCGCGCCAGCCATCCTCTCCTGCATGCACAGCACACCAAGCATTGTCTTTTTGATCGACGGGGACGGACAGCCTCATCGAAGGGAGCCGGCAGTTCATCTTACCTTTCACTAGATAACGGTTGCAGTCGAAATATTAATGGTGAGCGGAACATGTGATATTGATTGATCGATTTGTTTTTTTTTTTTTCATGGCTTATCAACCCTTCGCAAGATATTTAAAGATAATAATGGTTTAATGATACAAGTCTTACTATTTACCACATAGCTAAGGAGAAAAGAGGTGGGTTCATGCCTCTCCCAAGGGTATTTGCGCGTAAGTAATATAACAAACCCAAGTGGAATTGGAACTCGACTCTCCGATTAAACAGTTCTGAGCCATTATTGATTACACCACCCACACATCCAAGTTTACAGCACCTGGTATTCCCAAGCGGTCACCCGTCCAGGTACTAACCAGGCTCAACCTTGCTTAATTTCGTTGATCGTACTTGAATTAGTGTTTCAACGTGATGCGGCTGTAGGTCATATGTGATATGAATATAGAAGGGAATAGAAATGACTGAAAGAGAAAGTGGTAAGAAATGATGATGGGAAGGATAAGGAGGATAGATAGCGACTGACCTTTGGGGTCAAGATTGAAGTCTTCAAAGAAGACTCCACACTGGGTTCTGTTGCACAAAATAACAATTCTATAATGAAATGACAAATGGCTCACGGCTCGGATCCCAGTCGAGTTCATTACATTCACTTACGTGCTAATACCCTTGGGAAAAGTATGAATCTATCTCTCCTCCCCCACCCCAGTAAAATAGCAGGATAGACAGGGTCCTATAACTTTGGGCGGCAACCAGTCTAGGAGAAGGAAATTCTGAATTCAAACCGGATCGCACTATCCTAAAAGTGTGTATACCTGTGGCTGGGGACCGTTTGCAATCACAAATTCCCCCTGAAACAATTAGCACGTCCTTGGATACGTCGTTAAAAGAAGAGCCCAATGTTCCACAAGGAACGAGAACAACTAAATTATTTTAATTTAAATACCGGAATTGATGTTGCTACCATTATTTATATAAAGATAGAAAAAAAAATCCGAAACCCGTCGAATTAATTAAAACACTCAAAAGACTAATGTACTGTCGCGTTTATTAATAGAACAACAAAGATTGAAACAATATAGATGACATTTAATTGGCTATTTTCTTGTACTGTAAAATCACTTCAGTAATCTCGAAAAATTCCAATTAAACTAATCATTTAATACTGATAATAAAAAGTTCAGTCCTCACACTTATAAATTCAATTCCTGGGCCAGTCAAGGCCGAAATGTTGCATACGAAGGCATACAAACGTGAATAATACTAATAGGTACTAAATATTAAATATCAGACATGAGAAACTGAATAAGAAGAATCTAAAGTAGGTACGTCCACTAATTCTCTAAAAGAAAAGCATACCACGATGAAAAAATCCCCAAGGTTGATAAAAATAAAGTTTTATAGTCAAAATGTTTATGTTATTATTAAGATGAAAGACCAAAGAATTTTTAGTTATTTTATAAAATTGTTTAATCATTTCCAGCACGTTTTTTCTTTCTTCAATTATATTTTACAAATAAAGACTCTGTAGAACACTAGACCTGTCATCAGGCTGTCAACATGTCAAAACAGCTACTGTCAGGTTAAAAAAAAAATGCATTTCTGCGGTATTTTAAACTTAAAGTAAATAATATTTCTTTCAAATCAGATTAATTATACTTTAAATCAGCTAATTTTCCTTAAATAAAGTTTCAGAAAAGTATATTTTATTTTTGGAAGATTTTTTGAAGAAAATTGCTTTGTAATGAAAGACGAATGAAAACCGATGCTAATCAGCTATTTCAGCAGAAAAAAATCTTTCAAGTGAATTTAAATTAGTTTTTGAAATACAGCAAAGTATTTTGGTTATTGGAAATATTAAATTTAATCTATTAGCTTGAAATTAAATCTAAAATAAAAGCTTCAAGAGGTTTTTCATTTTTCAATATTCATTTTAAACCTGAAGTATCGCGTTTTATGGAGGACCTAATCTAAATTGAAGACAGATGGTCAGATAGATAATGAACAAACTAAGATAGATTCAAAACGGGTCCTCTTGATGATCCCCTTAAGCTTGGGGAAAAGAAATAACATGGAAGAAGATTAAGTGAATAGGGAGGTTGTTCTAGTACGGCGGTGTTCTTCTAGGCCAGGAACTGCTGGTTGCTCAGGTCGTTGTGAGCAGGTGGATTGTCGTTTGAAGCAACCACGATCTGTCCTGTCACAAAAGCATGTGAAAAAATGTGATATTTGCAGAAAGCTATGATTAGTTATATTTTCCCAAGATGTCGTGTTAGATAAAAACACAATCCACTTATCTCTCTTTCGACCGTAGCACAAACAGCATACCCAGTCCCGTTACGTTTCAGACAGAACTCATAGATAGATAGATAGATAGATAGATAATCACGGATTTTAATAATAAGTGACTTTGTAGTCACTTTCTTTAGTATCAATCAGAACGAGTTGATCTATTTGAAGGTTAACATACACCTTTTCCGCGCGTTCTTGGTCTCACGTTTCCCACTGACATGAAGTGAAATGATTTTTTTCAATCAACCACTTAGACTTGTACTAAGAAAACCGGTTCACAACATTGTGATAGTTAATTTTTCGGACCAGAATCTCAAACATTTCTAAGTCTACCATTCGTCCGGGGATCTGGTGTTATATAAAATACAAAGAAGAAACTGCAACGTTATCTCTCCTGACCTGGCAATTCGGCTTCAGTTACTTTACCACCGTCGTAATGTCGCTTCCTTGCGTCTTTTTCTTTTTTTTTTTAATAAATATTTTTATAGTAACTATTCTGATTGGCTTTCTTCTTTGCTACCTCGACTCCACGAATTTCAGTGCTGTGCTAGATTGGCAGCTCGGTCTCATAATTTCACTGCTGAAAAACAAAATTAATTATAACCGTAAGTTTTCTGTTAATAATTTCTTCTAACGCACTTCTTACTTGTGGAACTCACTTCCGACTTCCTTCTTTTCTGTCTACTGCGATCTTCAAAATGTAAATGCAATGTCAATCGTTATTTTATGTCACATTGAATTGCGCCAAATGTGACGTCTGCCTGGCTGCGTCCGTCGTGCTATTCTGCCCTGTGACGACCAACTGGCTTGGTATTGGTCGCGGCATAAAATGTGACGTTCTAACTTTTTGTTGATTCGGATGGGAATCTGGTTAGATTCGGTATCAGTCTTGTCGTTCCCAGCTCGCCTCCAACGTCTGGTTACCGAAGTAACTGCTTTGATTTCCAGTCTAACCTACCCACGTTGTGATTTGATCTTAGGCAGACGAAATCAATCAGTCGCCGGGCCGTAATGCAAGTCGTGTTCGAACAAGGGTGATATCGCACAAGTATATGTAAAAGAAAATAATAACTCGAAAAGTTTAAATGTGTTAAAAAAAAGGATAACAATATTTTATATATGGTTGCTGAATACAGGACTGCATCTTCTTCCCAACCCGCTATATGGATTCGTGACACTTTGTGTTTGTTAGGCGAGTCTTAACATCTTAAGTTGTTTGTTCTTTAAGAAACTGGTTCTTGGTGTATCTTCAGGCGATATTCGTAAAACTTGTTTTGGTGGTATGAGTCTAAGTCGTTCTTCAAAAATAAATTGTTCTTGGCTAGAAGTTGAGGTCGTGATGCCTGGAATCTTCCAAGTCAGCTATCTGCGAGCCCATTAACTCTGCAACTGTCTCTGCCAATTGTCAACTCCAACTGGTACTGAACTGAACTCAACTGCTTTTCACTCGCTGCGACTCTGCTTATATGGACGCCGACCAAAACCGGGGTGGGCTTTTCGGGATTTGAGGTTCCTTGATAATTCTAAATCCACAATCCACTTCTTTGTTTTCGGTCAGGAAAATTTTATTTTCCATTTTTGGAAGTCTTTCGCCTTCCCACCTTCTTCTGTTCTCATATTGGTATCTCACCATGCCCTCAGAGGGTGTCAACGGGTTTCCCCTCTCTCTCTCACAGTGGCATCTCGCACCTATCCCTTCAGGGGGGCGCAACAGGCCTCCCCTCCTTCTTCACATGATTACCTCCGCCTATCGCTCATGCTACCATTCAGCCAATGGGCGCTCAGTAGCGTGGGTGTGGCCAGACTAGCCTCGGTTTAAAAAATCTTGCTCAAAGAAAAAAAAAATTATTATTTTTTTTCTTTTCTTTTTCTTTCGTAGTGTGGTCCCTTAATCGAAATCGAATTTCATATGGAATTCGTCAACGAGATTTTCGCCAATTATCAAGTGGGTGGTCATCTGGCGAAACACAGCCAACTTTTCGTCCCGATAAAATAAATTTCTTATCATATATAGTCCCGACAATAAACAGATGCTTTTTCCAAACGATATTCTACATATAGACAAAGGCTTAACCTTTCCTTCATGGTGGTCAGCGGACACTTTTGTTTTTCGGTCAGCGGGTGCTTAATTAATTTTTATTTCTTTAGAATTCTGTCTCGCAGGTCATCCGACCAACCTGGAACCTCCACCATTGCCATGGGCAGATTGTCCATATCTCATTCTCCGCCCCGTAATATAAATCAGATTAAATCTAGTATCTTCCTTTCTCGACAATGGAAATAAAAATCTTACCACTTTTCTTTGTCAGAAAAATAACACCGCTTAGTGTCCTTTTCGTGATGGCTTCTTATCACCTAAATTTAATTCTCGCCTTTCTTTATTTCTTCTTTCTTTTTTAGCAAGCCAAATAGTGTCACAGAATCCTGTTTTTCAATTGTCCTCTCTGTTTCTTTCTCTCTCAGTAACCTTTTTCATACAATTTTTGTTTTATTATTGGGGTGAAATGATTTTAAAAAATGAACGTTAACAATTGTCAATTGGCACCCTGAAGAGTCACCAAATTGATTTCTTTTTCTTTTTTTATCAATCTTATGTATCACAAAATTTACTGAATGCCATGGGATAACTTTAAACCAATATTCTGGGTGAATAACCTCGCTGGAAATCCAACATCTGAAACATCTCTCATACCTGAATTCAAATACTGAAAACACGATCATTTTTAGTCTGGTTGACTGAGTCAGTGGGGGAAGCTGAACTAATTTACCAAAAAATTTTCAGCATCCAAACTGAACGTTATCTCCGGGAATGACGTTAAATTGCATCCGGCGATTGGCGAGGTGGCGGGAGGTGAGGAGCGTCGAACCACCTCTTAATTGTTAATATTCACAGTTCCACTTTGATCCGGGGTGATAGCATCTATTAGGGTTCCACCTATAGGCAAATAGTGAGCATTCCAAACAAAAATCAGAATATTTGGAAAGTATAGAGATACATTTTTATAGTAAAAATACCAGCAATATATTTTTTATAAAAAATTACCAACAATACGTTTTTTATAGTGAAATTGCCAGCAATACATTTTTATTAAAAAAATATTACCAACTTTACATTTCTG